TTATTACAATTAGATTAAGGTATCTTCAATCCTAAAATGCTATGGGAAGGGAAGGAAACAGGTCCGCGACGTAGGAAAACGTGAAGGAAGTAGTAAAGGCGAGCTGTCCGGAGTGTGGAAACTGTTTATGACGATTTGATTTAGGTATCTGCATTCCTAGATTCTATGGGAAGGGAGGAAAACGGGTCCGCGATGTACGAAGAGGTGAAGGAAGTAGTCAAGGTGAGCTGTCCGGATTGTGGGAACTTTTTATGACAATTAGATTAAGGATCTTCAATCCTAAAATGCTATTGGATGGGAAGGAAACAGGTCCAGGACGTAGGAAGTGGTAAAAAATAGTCAAGGCGAGCTGTCCGGAGTGTGGAAATGGTTTATGACTATTAGATTAAGGTATGTGCAATCCTAAAATTCTATGGGAAGTGAGGAAAACGGGTCCGCGACGTAGGAAGTGGTGAAGGAAGTAGTCAAGGTGAGCTCTCCGGAATGTGGGAACTTTTTATGACAATTAGATTAAGGATCTTCAATCCTAAAATGCTATTGAATGGGAAGGAAACAGGTCCGCGACGTAGGAAATGGTGAAGGAAGTAGTAAAGGCGAGCTGTTCGGAATATGGGATCTGTTTATGACCATTAGATTAAGGTATTTGCAATCCTAAAATGGTATGGGAAGGGGGGAAAACGGGTCACGACGTAGGAAGTGGTGAAGGAAATCGTCAAGGCGAGCTGTCCGGAGTGTGGAAACTGTTTATGACTATTAGATTAAGGTATCTACAATCCTAAAATGCTATGGAACGGGAGGAAAACAGGTCCGCGATGTACGAAGTGGTGAAGGAAGTAGTCAAGGCGAGCTGTCCGGATTGTTGGATCTGTTTATGACCAATAGATAAAGGTATTTGCATTCCAATAACGCTATGGGAAGGGAGCCAAACATGTCCGTGACGTGGGAAGTAATGAAGGAAGCAGTAAAGGCGAGTTTTTCGGAGTGTGGGAACTGTTTGTGACGATTAGATTAAGGTATCTTGGTATCTACAATCTTAAAATTCTATGGGAAGAGAGGGACAGGTCTGCGACGTAAGAAGAGGTGAAGGAAGTAGTAAGGTGAGTAGTGTGGAGTTTGGGAACTGGAAACCATTGTAGCAGTTAGATTAATGTATCTGCAATGCTGAAATGCTACGAGAAGGGATGGAAGCATGTCCACGACATATAAAATGGTGAAAAAAGTAGTAAAGGCTAGCAGTGCGGAGTCTGGGCATTGTTTGTGGCAATTAGATGAACGTATCTTAAATACTAAAATGCTATGGAAAGTGATGAAAACAGGTCCACGATGTAGGAAGTGGCTTAGGAAGTAGTAAAGTATGAACATATTGTGAGAATCGTCTGTGGCAGTTAGATTATTGTATCTTCAATCCTAAAATGCTATGAGAAGGGAAGGAAACAGGTCTATGACGTAGGAAATGTTGAAGGAAGTAGTAAGGCTTGCAGTGCAGAGTGTAGGAACTGTCTTTGGCAATTATAAATTAATGTATCTGCAATCCTAAAATGCTATGGGAAGAGAGGGAAAGAGCTCCACTACTTAGGGGGTGGTGAAGGAAGTAGTAAAGGCGGGCAGTGTTGAGTGTGGGAATGGATTAATCTGCAAATGAATTCATTTTAATTTAATTTAATTTTAATTTATTTTTTATGATTTTTTTAATTTATCTGCAATGGAAATAATGCTATGGGAAGAGAGACTGTAGGTTAACATGATTATGAAGCATGAATCGTTACATATTTCGATACGTATTCAATCGTTTACAATAGAAATTTACAACTGAGTTGACAACAGCTGAGTTTTACTCCATAGAGGCTAAAAACTAATTTTATCCCCTAAAGAGTGAAAATGCTACTTTAGACCCGCAACTAAAATATAACTATATATAACACACGCACCAATGACGACTGTTTTTACTGCAGTATGACAAAAACAATATAATATGAACCCTTGATGACTCCGCTCAATTTTGTGGATGCATCTGCGAACGCCACCTAGTAAATTATTAAACCCTTAGGTTTAGCAGCTATTACATTTTTAGTACTAGTGTCAGCTACTGGAACAACTGACAGTCAGCTACTGGTACAAGCACTTTTTTCACTGTCAGCCACTGGAACACGTACAAAGGTTGAATTAAGTTTAAAAATGTTATAAAATATATTTAAAAACCCCTTTTTTATGACAAATTTGAAAACTACACTAAATTTAGAATCACATAAAATCCGTAATATCTCTTTAGTTCCTATTTATTCAAAACCACGGATTATTAAGTGAGTATAGTTTCTTATACTGTCAGCTACTGGTGTGTTTACCTTATGTCAAGATTAGGTATAATCTTACTACTTGAACTAAGATAAATTCAAGTTCTCCTCCAGTTTTCAATATTTCTTCCTAGAACTCGAGGCATTTTCTGTTCTTCCAACAAAACTGATTAACTGTTTAACTTGGTCTTAACCTACTGATTATTACAATAACATTAATATTTACTCCCAAAAAATAATGAGTTTCTTTTTATAAACAGCTGTTCTTTGTTTTTAAATTTGTTTTAAGTATTTCTTATGGGGAAAACCTGACCTTTTAGAGGATCTCACACCCTTAAGGGTAGGACTTTTTATATTCTAAAACCTTATTGCAAAACTACATATTGAGACAAATCTTTTGACACCTTAAACGTTGAAATTGGTCCACAAATAAGGGAGGAGTTGTGTTCACAAAAAACTGCTTCACATATTGTATATCTATCTATCTATCTATACTATTATAAAGAAGAGGTGGTGTCTGTGTGTGTGTGTGTTTGTATGAGCTAATCTAAAAAACTACTGAACCTACTGGGCTCAAATTGCACACAAATGAAGCTACAGTTCCGAGGATACATATAGAACTATTCCCGCTTCGATATTGTCCTACGGCTCTGCCCCGTGGGCATTCAAAAATTTGAGGTGAGAGATTTAAAAGTAAATATTGATTGATGGTATCCATGGTAACAAAGAGCAAACCTACAAAGTTTAAAAATGTAAACAAGCAGAACTAACTTGTCAAATGAATTTTGATTTTACAATTCCACACAGCTGGTTCAAACATATTAAATACTGCACGAATATTAGAACAGAGAGGGTAAGGATTATAAATTAAAATAATGATGTCACTAGCCTAAATGTAAACATTATTTAACATCACTTAAATGGAGCTGTCAAACCATATGTATAAGCATTTTATACTTCTATGCCAACCCCGTACGAAGGACGGGTACTCTGCTAGTATATCTATCTATATTAATAGGCAAGCATGTTTCTTTAAAACCTTTTTTCTCAGCTCGCGTGTATCGTAGGAAAAATCTACGCATACCGTTAGAAAGCTATTTTCCTGTAGGTGTGCAGAATCCCTTTATAAATTAAAATAGGCTCAAAAATAAGCACAAAAAATGAATTTGAAATTTAAAAAAATTAACATGGGTATTATGGGTTGCTATGGTGATGACGAAATAACAACACAATATAAACAGAAAATCAAAACAAATGGAAGACATTCCAATCACATGTTTTATTTACAGTGTGGGGTGAAAATAGAGAAGGTTGTACAAAACATACTTTTGGTCGATTTTTCGACCACGGGGCGTGCTCTCGTATATATTAATAGGCAAGCATATTTCTTTAAAACCCTTTTTCTCAGCTTGTGTGCATCACAGGGAAAATATACGCATACTGTGGGAAAGATATTTTCCTGTAGATGTACAGAATCAGAATCCCCAAATTTAAAATAAATTAAAAAACACAAAAAATGAATTTAAAATTTAAAAAAATTAACATATGGGCCTTATGGGTCTTATGCTGGTTACGAAATAACAACAAAATATATACAGAAAATCGAAGCAAATGTAAGAAATTACAATCCCATGTTTATTTACAGCGAGGGGTAAAAATAGAGAGGTTTTTACAATAGAGATTTTTTAGGCCGAGTTTTCGATCATGGAAACTATAAATCATATAATTTTTTTATAATTATACTATACAAGAATTATACTCCTATTATTGGTTTTATTCCTATTTTTATTTTTTAATATCCGTTAGGCGTTCAATGTAATTTATAGTTCTAACATGCTTGGTAATAATGTGGTTTGCTTTTAAATGTGATTGTAAAATAATTTAATCTATAAGTATAAAAGAGGATGTTTGTATATATATATATATTTGTTTGGCAGTGATAAACTCAGACACCGCTGAACCGATTGCCACGAAACTTGGTACATACGTGTAGAATTTCATGGAATAGGTTTATACACCATCAATTTCGTGATCCGTCCAATAGGCTCCGCCCAAGTGGCTCTGGAGTTTCCCATGTTAACCTTATGAGAAATGGAATTAATGAATCTTAACAGCTGTTTCAATTAAACAAGTTGGTTCTGTTCTATGATGTTCAATAGCATTAAAGTTACAAGGATTACCAACAGGGTGTAGCACTATTATTTCTTTTACATTTATGACAACAGCTAATTTGCAACCAAAAGGTGAGTGAGCATAGCGAACAAACTTCAACCTTGAGGCGGGTTAGCGTAGTGAACGAGCTAACCTGAAGGCAAGTGAGCGCAGCGAACGAGCTCCAACCTAAAGGTGAGTGAGCGTAGCGAACGAGCTCCAACATAAAGGTGAGTGAGCGTAGCGAACGAACTTCAACCAGGACGTGATTGAGCCATGCGAACGAGATCATCTTGAAAATTAAGAAGTTAAATGGGGCAAAGCCCGCGGGTTACAGCTTGTCAAATAGTAAAAGTAATAATGTTGAAAAGTAGGCTATATAATACAGTACTGCTGACCAAACACTTTTAGATTTTACAATAATGTTCAAATCTTACTATATGCGTAAATCAACTTATCATGTTTACATTTTTTTTCAAAACGTACGGTTATCATGTAGGTGTATATTTTATTGTAGCATTAATAGTTGACAGTGCTAATCAGTACAATTTATTCCAGGAACTCAAGACAGGCTCAAGATTATTGAAGCAAAATTTTTAAATGTGAAGACATCACTATACTTTATAAATATTATTCCTCAGAAGAACTTATTAGGGAAAAATAAAAAAATGGCGCAAGCTCAGAGCGGCCAGTTATCATTGTATGTCAAACAACTTCTTCATCTGCTTGGTTCACTTGAAACCATTCTGAACTCTGAGCCACAAGGCAATAAGCTAGAAACTGAGAGGTCCTTGGCACCTGTACCAACCAAGAGTTGCCAGTTACCATCATCAGATGGAATCCCACTACCGAAACCATTCGATTCATGGGTATCACCTCCTGATGGCGAGTGGATTATAAATCATACAGGGCATGCAGTCTTAGTTCCTTTCCTAAAAAGTCCGCTTTATGGGACATGGTTTATGAACTCTTCAGGCAACCCAGAATTTTTACCCAATGGAAGACAACTTCTTCCCCTTCCTCGGGGAGGAAAATGGACCATCTCATCTAGTGGAAGGCCTGAGTGGGTTGTTACACAAAACCCTACATGTACAACTGAAGAACAAACCACTCCCCCTCCTGGCGAGTGGATTATAAATCATACAGGTTATGCAATCTTAGTTCCTTTCCAAAAAATGAGGCTTTTTGGGACATGGTTTATGAACACTTCAGGCAAACCAGAATTTTTACCCGATGGAAAAATATTTCCTTCACTTCCTCAGGGAGGAAAATGGACCATCTCATCTAGTGGAAGGCCTGAGTGGGTTGTTACACAAAACCCTACATGTACAACTGAAGAACAAACCACTCCCCCTCCTGGCGAGTGGACTATAAATCATACAGGGTATGCAATCTTAGTTCCTTTCCAAAAAATGAGGCTTTTTGGGACATGGTTTATGAACACTTCAGGCAAACCAGAATTTTTACCCGATGGAAAAATATTTCCTTCACTTCCTCAGGGAGGAAAATGGACCATCTCATCTAGTGGAAAGCCTGAGTGGGTTGTTACACAAAGCCCTACAATTACAACTGAAGAACAAACCACTCCCCCTCCTGGCGAGTGGACTATAAATCATACAGGGTATGCAATCTTAGTTCCTTTCCAAAAAATGAGGCTTTTTGGGACATGGTTTATGAACACTTCAGGCAAACCAGAATTTTTACCCGATGGAAAAATATTTCCTTCACTTCCTCAAGGAGGAAAATGGACAATCTCATCTAGTGGAAAGCCTGAGTGGGTTGTTACACAAAGCCCTACAATTACAACTGAAGAACAAACCACTCCCCCTCCTGGCGAGTGGACTATAAATCATACAGGGTATGCAATCTTAGTTCCTTTCCAAAAAATGAGGCTTTTTGGGACATGGTTTATGAACACTTCAGGCAAACCAGAATTTTTACCCGATGGAAAAATATTTCCTTCACTTCCTCAGGGAGGAAAATGGACCATCTCATCTAGTGGAAGGCCTGAGTGGGTTGTTACACAAAACCCTACAATTACAACTGAAGAACAAACCACTCCCCCTCCTGGCGAGTGGACTATAAATCATACAGGGTATGCAATCTTAGTTCCTTTCCAAAAAATGAGGCTTTTTGGGACATGGTTTATGAACACTTCAGGCAAACCAGAATTTTTACCCGATGGAAAAATATTTCCTTCACTTCCTCAGGGAGGAAAATGGACCATCTCATCTAGTGGAAGGCCTGAGTGGGTTGTTACACAAAACCCTACATGTACAACTGAAGAACAAACCACTCCCCCTCCTGGAGAGTGGACTATAAATCATACAGGGTATGCAATCTTAGTTCCTTTCCAAAAAATGAGGCTTTTTGGGACATGGTTTATGAACACTTCAGGCAAACCAGAATTTTTACCCGATGGAAAAATATTTCCTTCACTTCCTCAGGGAGGAAAATGGACCATCTCATCTAGTGGAAGGCCTGAGTGGGTTGTTACACAAAGCCCTACAATTACAACTGAAGAAAAAACCACTCCCCCTCCTGGCGAGTGGACTATAAATCATACAGGGTATGCAATCTTAGTTCCTTTCCAAAAAATGAGGCTTTTTGGGACATGGTTTATGAACACTTCAGGCAAACCAGAATTTTTACCCGACGGAAAAATATTTCCTTCACTTCCTCAGGGAGGAAAATGGACCATCTCATCTAGTGGAAAGCCTGAGTGGGTTGTTACACAAAGCCCTACAATTACAACTGAAGAACAAACCACTCCCCCTCCTGGCGAGTGGACTATAAATCATACAGGGTATGCAATCTTAGTTCCTTTCCAAAAAATGAGGCTTTTTGGGACATGGTTTATGAACACTTCAGGCAAACCAGAATTTTTACCCGATGGAAAAATATTTCCTTCACTTCCTCAGGGAGGAAAATGGACCATCTCATCTAGTGGAAAGCCTGAGTGGGTTGTTACACAAAGCCCTACAATTACAACTGAAGAACAAACCACTCCCCCTCCTGGCGAGTGGACTATAAATCATACAGGGTATGCAATCTTAGTTCCTTTCCAAAAAATGAGGCTTTTTGGGACATGGTTTATGAACACTTCAGGCAAACCAGAATTTTTACCCGATGGAAAAATATTTCCTTCACTTCCTCAGGGAGGAAAATGGACCATCTCATCTAGTGGAAAGCCTGAGTGGGTTGTTACACAAAGCCCTACAATTACAACTGAAGAACAAACCACTCCCCCTCCTGGCGAGTGGACTATAAATCATACAGGGTATGCAATCTTAGTTCCTTTCCAAAAAATGAGGCTTTTTGGGACATGGTTTATGAACACTTCAGGCAAACCAGAATTTTTACCCGATGGAAAAATATTTCCTTCACTTCCTCAGGGAGGAAAATGGACCATCTCATCTAGTGGAAAGCCTGAGTGGGTTGTTACACAAAGCCCTACAATTACAACTGAAGAACAAACCACTCTCCCTTCTGGCAAGTGGATTATAAATGAAACAGGACATGTAGTGTTAAATGTTTCTGGCAAACAACTTAATGGGACATGGTTTATGAACATTTCAGGCAAACCAGAATATTTACCCTATGGAAAACCACTTCCTCCCCTTCCTCGGGGAGGAAAATGGACCATCTTATCTTGTGGAAAGCCTGAGTGGGTTGTTACACAAAACTCTCCATGTGTAACTGAAGAACAAACCACTCTCCCTTCTGGAAAGTGGATTATAAATGAAACAGGGCATGTAGTGTTAAATGTTTCTGGCAAACAACTTAATGGGACATGGTTTATGAACATTTCAGGCAAACCAGAATATTTACCCTATGGAAAACCACTTCCTCCCCTTCCTCGGGGAGGAAAATGGACCATCTTATCCTGTGGAAGGCCTGAGTGGGTTGTTACACCAAAAGGTGAATGTGTATCACCCCCTCCTGATGGCGAGTGGATTATACATTATACAGGGCATGCAGTCTTAGTTCCTTACCTAAAAGGGAGGCATTATGGGACATGGTTTATGAACGCTTCAGGCAACCCAGAATATTTACCCGAAGGACAAGAACTTCCGCCCCTTCCTAAGGGAGGAAAATGGACCATCTCATCTTGTGTTAAGTGGGTTCCCATGTCAAGTACTCAAGGTAACTTTTACAACTTTAGGGGAAATTCCATTAAAAATAATAAATATTTCCTCATTTAAGGTTCTTACAAGTAACTTTAATAAAAACCCTGTTCTATTGTATTCTTACAAAACTGTATATTCTTAAATTTTTGTTGGTCACACATCACAAACATCAGAGATTTCAAAGTGTATAGAATGCAATAAGACCACTTCAAAATTAATATACTTCTCACTTGTTATAACATGCTCCAAAATTGGGTTTTCAGTTAGACTACAAAAATTAGTGAAATTTGGAGCTATTAGACAAATGAAGTCGAGAATTCTAGCTTCAGTTCTTATTATCTTGAAATAACTTCCTAAGTCTTGGGTCAAGCATGACAGAGAAAACAAGTTTTCTTTTGAAACAACAGCTACCAAAGTTCCTGTTTTCTAAACGATCCATTGTTAACCTCATTTGGATCAGGGATCATTTCAAATTTTGGCCATTCATGTTCTGATAGCAACAACAATGTTCTTCCCTCCCACCATCGAGATTTTATTAGCTGGGCTGGAAAATGACCGCTAGAGAGCAGATCCGCTGGGTAATGGAGCCCGGAATATGTCTCAACTGTTGGGCAGAGCTAACTGAAACATTTTTTTTAACTCTGTTCTGAAAACCGACCACTGATGCTGGTTGTTGTTGATCTATGCCAGGACAACTGTAGAGTCAGTCCAAAATATATTATCTCTGTCATCAGGGCATACTGAAATCTGAAGAAATGCCTTTTCAATATCCGATATGAAACCAATAGCATTTTGTCTGAATTTAGTTAGAACAAGTGGTATTAGCTCAATTATGTTAGGACCTTGTTCCATGGAATTGTTCAAACTATGACCATTAGTGTTGACAATGGATGCGTCAAACACTAGGCGCACCTTAGTTGTAATACTTTCTTTAAAAACAGCTCTATGGAGAAGGTAGTGTACATTAATATTATTCAACTCCTCATTTATTTCTCGATTATTTCAAGTTTAAGCCATGAACCAAACACAGAATCATAATCATCGTACTTACCAATAAGTTTCAGTGTCTTGGTAGTAGAACAAAGTCTCTTTTCTGCGACGTATTTGTTGTCCTCTAGTACAGGCTGTCCTTCACTCCAAGGAAGATGCACGACATATCTCCCAGAATCTTCTTCTTAAACAGTTTTTTTTTTTAAACTAAGCTACTTGACTATCCTATTCACTCTGAAGTTTTTTCGTGCCAGTTAACTTTATTTGTAAGAATCAATAACATCTAAGAAGTCATTGTAGTTGCACTGTCTGATTCAGATTCACCAACTAGTGTCCATCCTAGTTTTGTTTTCACAGCAGCCAAATCATTACCTGTTTTTACATACTCCGATGTAATCAATTTAGGCCAACTGTCAGCTCCAAGAAGCAACTGTATGTCACTTACTTCTTCTGATGATCCACAAAAATCCGACAATATCACACCTTTTGCTTTGAGATTTTCATATATTCTGACGTCCGACATTTTAGGTATGAAGCTGCGGATACGAGGTGTATCCAAAACTTTGAAATCTTCATTAAAACCATCAGTTGTGGATTGAAGTTTTACAGAATAAACTCCATGAAACCTTAAATTTGTTTTTTGTCCCCCAAACAACTCTTGACTTGTCACAGTTTTACCCATTCTCTTCAGTTTTAAATCAGATTCAAATATACATTTTTTGGCTTCCAGAGTCAATCAACGTACAAACTGTGTGTTCTTGGGTTCCCACAATGATTTTCACAAGAAGCGTGCTTAGATAAACCACTGTTGATTTACTAGTACTGTACTCGACACTAATGCCTGACTTGTACTATCCTCAGAAATAGGTACCTGTTCATCAGATTTTTTAGCTTTATTTAAGGAAAGGGTTATTTTCTTTTGTAGATCTTCACATTTAATCGGATAGTGTTTTCTTAAACAAGTTGCCTACTTTACCATACCTTTACCGGAATTACTCATGTGTTGACCTTTTAAACACTTGAAAGAAGATCCTTTCTTCTTTAAAATATCTTTTTGCTTAAGAAGAGTCATATCCAAAGCTTTCACCCAATCTTGAGATCTGTGGTTTTTATCACAAAACACACAAGTCAATGAATAAGTACCTTCCGTAGTCAATACAAGTGCCGCAACCGAAGGCTGTTTCTCAAAAGGCTTTCTGTTCGTTTTGCTTCTCAAAGTTTTTATTTGTTTTATTAGAAGATCCCCAAAAAACTTGAGAGGAACTTGCAATTCCAAACCCTTCCAATTCCATGGAGACTTTTTGTTTCCCCTCTACTTCGTTTGTAAGGAACGCCAAAAAATTCTCCAGGAAATCTTTTGAGGAACTTTTATGATTGTTGGAGTTGTGGTTCATCGTTCTCTACCAAAGTTTGAGGACGTCTTCGAGCAGACTTGATGGAAATAACAGTGAGGCAAAATGCTCTGAAGTCACTTAACATTCTTTAAGTGTAACTGGATCTTGTCATAAAAATACCGACAAAGTTGGTTTTTCTTTACTTGTGACGTTCTATATCGTTAGAGCCAACATTTGCCTCATGTGCTCTGAAGAGATCGTCTCTTCCGAATCGACTCTTCAGAGCTTCAACAACTTCGTTGTACATTTCAGGTGTTGCAGGGTAGCTTTCAACCAAGTCACGGGCAGGCGATCCAACAGCAGTTGCCATTATAAGATACTGGATCTTATCTGCTGGGTATACATTTTGGTCTTGGTCGATCTTCTTAAATTGATACCGAAATGGAAACCACTCGCCTAGTTCCCTGTTAAACTCTTTTAGTTTCAAATAAGGTAACTTGTATCAGCGTCCTGCTTTATTTGACCCTGAACTTTGTTACGTTATTTCACTTTATTCATCTTTAAGTAAATTCTTTTCATAAATTTTTAGATGATCCACTTTCTTAGAAACAAGATGATATTGTACAATATATTCACTTTGCCCTAGAAGTTCTTCATCAATGTCTTCATTTCTCCCATCACCTTCTAATAATTGATCATATATTGACGAATTTAGGTCGTTCAGAGTGCAAAAATGATTATTTATTATTTCAAGCGGTGCTGATACTTGTGTAAAATCATCTATTTCTTTCTTAAAAAATATCTTTAAGTTATTTAACTGTCACAGTAAATGTCCTTCGAATATCAGATCTTGATTTCTTTAGTTTTGTCAGCTCAGCCATCCTTATAATAATACGTGAAGCGATTTCTACGAAACACTACTCCTCCGTTAATAATGGACAGATTTTTACAAATGATGTGTCAAAATTAAGTATTTTTTGTGTAGACCACTCACCAATTCCTGTAACAAAAGTCCTCGAACTTTGCACCACAGGCTATTTAAATCCCAATGTATTTCTTATGAAGAAAATATTTTGTTAACTTGAACAGTTGAATAATTTGTATTAATTACAGCTGTTCATAGTAAACACATGATACACACAAAAGGGTTCGTTTTCAGTTTCGATAAGTGGAGTGGAGTGATTGATTACATTATCTTTGAGTTGACTCTTTTAAGTCATCGGAAATTATGACTGTTATTCGTTTTGAAATAACATCCGTAATACTTTGCAATTGCTCGAATTCGAGCAACAGGCTCACACATATTCTTAAATTTTTGTCATAACACAACACAATGTTTACAAAAAGTCAGAACATAAATCAACTATATGATCATTGTAATTCCAAAAAGTAGTTAATGAAAGTCTTAGTTTAAGAAAGTCTTTTAACTTCAATTCTTAACAGTAACTGTGATGTACGGTACGTATTATTGCTTGGTCGGTTTCTTCTTATGTAACAGGAGATTCAAAGGCTAAAAATACCGCCAAATCTGGAGATGAATCCTATGCTGTCTCCATTACTAAAATAATAACTGATAATGCCATTTCAGGAGCTACTTCAGAACGCCACTACGCACCAACACCCACAAGATCACAAATGCCACCCAAAGTGGAAGATGGCAATCTCCCTAATACCAGTTTACAGGAAACATATCCAATAGATTCTCATCCTGCCACAAGCAAGGTGTATCAAGATGTTTATAAAACTCTGCAGAATATTGATGAGTGTGTTAGCAAAATTATGCACAAACTAGGTTAACACAATTAAAGTAAGGATTCATATTGGCAGAGTATTCCTTTTATTTTATCATTACTTGCATTCCATCAATTATTGTCACTACACAGAGACCATTAACATTATTAGATTTTTTTACAACACAGGCCTTTTAAAACTGTGTAACAAGTATTTTTTTAATTTAAATTCTCCGATACAATTTAAGATTTTGAGAGACATATTTACAATCCTGTAAAATAGCAAACCTAGTCTAGTGAATAATCAAAAGTTGCCGAATTGATCCTAGGAAAAGTCAGTAGAGTAACTTTTTGAGGCTTCAAAAATGGAACCAGCTAACTTTGATCATTGGGTTTTGGTCCTGGCTAAGACTACGGCCACACAGGCGTTTTTACACATAAACACAGTGTAAAAACACACGAAAAATATGATTAGCATCAAATGTAATGTAAATCCTGTGCAGTGTGTTTTACTGAAATAGCGGGCACATCTTTAAAGTTTCCCACTGACTGCGGTTGTGATGAAAAATGAGCTGTGGCATATTTTTGATGATTTTGCATCAGCGCCTCTTCAGTAATGTCCAATCTTGGACATATTTAAAAATGCCAACGCTAAATACCAAATGGTATTTGGTTGATAACCTGATGGTTAAAAATTAAACTAAATAACAAATTAATTAAAAACTAGGTGAAGCCCGTTGAAATCGATGGTCCCTTTAAGGCTTACATTAATTTATCTTACTGTGATAAATAGAGTGAAATTATACAAATTTTGAGCATTTAGCATTATTTAATGAGTAATAAGTGTAAAAATAATAATGACTATTGGCACTATTGCGTTAGTTACAAAGTATGGTTGATCATTCCATGAATAAAATATTTCCCATACGATACAGTACGTGATCAAAGTTATTATTAGTATGTTAACTGGTATCTCTTCTTTTTGGAAGAACCTTTAAATATTATTAAAATCGTTTTGGTGGATCTTTTGTGGTAAACACTTCTGCGATTTCATCAGTGTAATGCAGATTAAATCTATGCTTTTATTTGAGGAAAAATATCTGTTTGTTGAGAAGGCACGTTCTTACTTCAAAAGTCCACCCTTAAGCTGTGAAAGTTTGATCTTTTCCTTCATCACGTCGGTCAACATGCTGTACTTCTGTGCCAATAACCTTCGAACATAGTTTTGAGAAAATTTGGTCATGGGGTAACTGTTAAAAGCTGGAATTCCTTAACATGCGGATGTCCAGTTGCTCAGCCTTATCAATTACTTATTAATTAATTTTTTACAGTCAAAGTGTAGTGTTATTTTAAAATACCTCACGAGCAAGTGGACCACAGTCCGTAACAGGCCACTGTAAATCATCTGTCAAGAAAGGTAATATTTTTAAGCAGGGTTTCTGTGTTTGGGTGTTATTAGACACAATAAGAGCACAATGAACTTCTTCTGCAGATGAATAATCTTTTGGTCAAGCAAGGCCGTAGCCGGGACAAACTTTTGGGGGGGGGGGTCTGGTTAGTGGCGGTTGTATCAAGGGGGTGTTGTGGGGGTGTGGAGCACACCAAAGAAAGAAGGGGGGTCTGTGGGTCCTCCCCCAGGAAAATTTTACATTTTTAAAGCCGTTAGGTGACTTTTTAAATAAGATATTAACTCCTAAAACTTTGTCTAATTCTCCAAAAATACCCATTTTACCTGTTGTTTGAAATGAGCATTGAGCAAGTAGACAATTAAAAAATTGCAGACTAAGCGAATTTCAACTTGTCTGATTACATTTTTACTAAAATATTTCCATAAATAAAACATAAGTTATATATTCCCAATTTAAATAACATTAGATTTAACGAGTGCTTAGGTTAGCTGCTACGGGGAAGGTAAAAGTGTTTTTGACAATATGTCAACAGTATAGGATGAAATAAATAAATTTGCCAAATTTTATCAACACTATATCCATAAACAAGTAAATTACAACAGTTTTCATTTTCTCCATAAGAATAACATGGGAATTTTAAATTACACTATTTTTTATTTTCTCCATGACCGTTAGGCATACAACAGCGCTTCAATATACTAAATTATTTATTTTTTTAAGCTCGACAAAATGGTTGAGAAAGAAAATACAAATTTTTTTGTTTTTAGCTAAACAATGGGAAAACCCCATTTTTACCCCATAAAACCCCCCATAAACCCCTGTTCCCATGGTCCGATTATGCTGGTTCGCGAACTCGTTCGAATAAACGTAGGTTTACACGTTTGTACCAAATTTCATCAAAATCGGATAATTTTTGCTCGAGTTATTACGCTAACGGACACATATATAAATATATATATTAATTTGAACGGATGGTGTTTTTGGCCTCTGGGGACCTCAAAACGAAAAAGTAAATCGGTCCCGGGTCTAGGTCTTACCATGAAACCTACGGTAATAGCTTATTCCCTATATGGGAAATTCGCTAAAATGAGTTAAGTGTCAAAATATGTGCTATCTGCCAAGCCCAATACGTTAAAAAGCGGGTTATCTGCAAAACAATAGCTCCAATACGTTTAAACAGTGGCCGCTAGAATGCGCATGGGTCAACTTCATCAGCTGAGGAAATGAAAACCGGGCTATGTGCCAAGCGTCTTTACAACCCATTTTGAGGCTATTCTGGCAGTGTTGGTAGAGGTGTACACGTGAGTTTATACTTAAAATGGGCGATGCCACAGAAAACATATTATAGTAGTATGTTTTCTGTGGCGATGCAGAGTTAGTAGAAGTTAAGAAGAGACGTCCTAAAAAAAGCATTCAGTGAATTGGAGCCATGTAAAAAAATAAAAGTTTTAAAGAAAATGTGCAGCTAGATGCTCTGAAACACCTACCACAGTCCTTGTATGCTATAAACAAAATGAAAAAAGAGAAGAAAGATGACATTAAGAATATGATACCGGTACCATTTCTGAAGGAAGAATATGTAAACGTTTTTACAGAGAGAGTTAACTGTTTAATTTTTAGACCTAAAACCAACACATTTGTCGTTTACCCTTTTATGTTTTTTTACGGGTTTTATGATGTTTTATAAATAATAAAATAAATAATAATAATAATTATAATAATAAATAAATAATAATAATATATAATAAATGTATAATATAAATATATGCCGGTGCACGAGCAAGCAAATAAATCAATGATATACCTTCCAGATTCCTATTCTAAGGTACAATAAATATGGGCCATGCTTCATAATTGCATCCAAAAATATTTGATCTTGATCTTATATAATGGATTTGTCAATAGCCAATTCTTCAGGATAATTTTAAATTTGGAATTTGGAGGAGATTTCACTTGATCTGGTAGCGAGTTGAAGAGACTGATACATGTAATTGATTGAATGTCTATATCGGACCTGCTTTTCAACCCATAGGAGGTGAGAGACACAGATTTTGGAAAAGGTCAACATTTTTCTTAACTATGAAGACAATTCAAGATAATGGGCGGAAAAGTAATACTTTTTTGTTAGCTAAAAATGTTTTACAGGATAATGATGATGCTTCTTAAACAATGTTCTAATGTATTGTATGAATAGCCTACAGTTAACCTTATAATATTATGACAAAAGCGAGTAGGCTTAGATCTAATAATTATTGTAGCCAAATAAATGCAAAGATGATCTAATTTGGTTAACTACTTTCCGTATGGACTTTCATAAAAAAACGTGTGGATAAGCAGATCTCAACAATGGCAATGAGGAAAAGTGGCCCACCCAACCAGATGGGCCGGCCAGTTTACTCAGGGAATACCCGGTCAGAAACAAGTTCAGCTGTGCTGTGACGTCAAACCAGAGCAAGTATTTGTACTGGGAAGATAGCTCGGCTAGACATTCTGCAACCGGCTGCCTCTGTTGTTGTTGTTCATCTCGATCTCACTCAGTGACTCAGTGCTTCAGTTTCTAAGTGACAAATAACATCAAGTTTTGTGTTGATTTAAGGTAAGATCAAGATTAATATTTGTTGATTTACTATTTAGTCTAATATAGTTGGCCTACTTTTAATAGAAATAAAGGTTTGAATTTGATTAGCCTAGCTGTTTTCTTACATTTAAAAAATGATAAAAACTACCGGTACTTGTTATGAGAAGCTAAATTAATCTTGCAATCAAGTATAAATTTACAGTACTAACAGTATTTAAGTATTTAAGTACTAACAGTAGAGCATCTAACAATACACCCGGCTGATAAATGATGATCAAAAAAATACAATAAAGTAGTACCAAACCAACCAAACCAAGACAACAGTGAAAGTCAGTAATATGATGATAAATAATCGGATGATAACTTTGGATATGGACATCGTATGGTTGCCATTTCAAAGAGTATTGAGTAAGCTAAAAAAAATAAATAACTTGAGAATAAAACTGGCAAAAAAATAAAAAAATTATAATCAGATAATAACTTTTAGACTAACAATAAACTGTTTGAGACATTTCGGACATTCGTGATACAAGACAATACAATTTTAAAGTTTCCAACTGTGTTACAGTGTAACATAAATTTGCCTTTTTTACATTTATTTGTACATACCTTCACTTATTTTGATTACTGTATTTTTTTCAGAAATAATTTCTTGATGTAGGCCTACTGCTTTTGAGGAATCCTAAAGCATGTCATAAATAATTTTCTAATAAAAACCTTGATATGGCCAATTGGATTACATTTTCAGGGGTCTTTCCTATCTTAACAAAAAAACAGAGTAGTCCGGTACATGTAGGCTACTAAAATTGTTGCATTGTTATGATGTCACACAAATAGTTTTATTATATTTTGTTGTGGGACATAAATAGTGCTTGAATGAATATAAAATTACAATAATAAGATTTATCAGGAAATTTTAACTGTGATTTGGAATGCTTATCTAGATAACAAAATGCTGTACCTATAGCATAGCAGTTAAACAGTTTAGATGTTAAGGTTTCATTCACCGTTCACCGTTAACCTGTGGTGTTAATTATTACAAGTTATTTAGTGGTACCTCCATGCCAATTTTTTGTTGAAGATTGTAGGTTTAAGGGGAGTCGGTTGGCTCTATCTTCCCTATGTCAAATTAAGCAAATTCAAGGTACGGTACATTTTCTCAAAAACTATTAAAGATATTGCAATTATTCTTTTTCTCCTCATAAGTAAACTTGCTGGGCACACTTTAACTAAGATATATTAAAATTACTTTTTGTTTTAATTTTTTAAATATATTTTTTCAATACAATAAAAAAATCCATGTTTTTTAATGAAATAATTTTATTTGTTATTTTGCGGTAGTTAAAACCTTTTAAATATCTCTTCGTCTGTTTATGTGCACTTAAAAAAAGGAACAATAAAAAAATAATAACAAGATATCTCTTTTGGTTACTGGGAAAATGTACCTTATTATATGGAAAAAAAACCCGTTTTACGGTAATCGTCTAAAGACAACAACAGTGTGTCCTGCAGCCCTAATTGCCTGCAAAACATACTTGTCTTCCATTTACCAAAAAATATATAGGCCTAACTCAATTTGTACTAAATATATTTCAATGTTTTGGGTCTCAAATTATATATCAGTAATACAAAAAAAATATTTTTTTTTGCCTAGGGGGTCAACCGACTAATAATTCAAAGTCTGATTGATATAGGCTGTTGCGTCTTTAAATAAGTATCTATCTATGAACAGTTTAGGATTAATGTTTGTTTGTACTGTTTCCTTAACTAAAAAAATATAAAATTTTCACTGGCACGGCAATATACAGACAAAATACCCATTTGCACAACATTTTGTCCATTACTGATGGTTTATTCTTATCTACTATAATAAAATAGGTACATAACATAATATGTATACATTTTTATAAAGCTATAATGCATTTATTCATGATTAAAAGTTGGTACAGAAGATAATTTTTAATAGTCCCTGTTAATTGATATTAATGAAAGATAAGGCAAATCTTCCCAACTACGATGTTTAATTTCAGAATGTTGGCAAGATTAGTAGTACTAGCCATATCAGCTGCTATGGTGCAGGGGCATAGTTATCACCTAGGACCCTGTCCAACGGTTGCTCCTCTTCCAGCATTTGACATGTCAAAGGTTAGAAACATCTTCATAATATTGTATAAGCTGTGACAATCATTCAATTTAAATTGAAGAAAAATGTCTTTCTTTTTCCTTACTAAAACGTCTCATAAAAGTGTATGATAAATGATTGTGGTCCTTGATCTAAGTTAACATGCAGAGTTTGTTAACAGTTACTTCCCTAAAAAGATATTTTGCTAAATAAAATAAAAAACATGTGCATCAGTGAGAATTCACTTATCTACCTTTGAAACAAATATTTTACCATTTTATTGTTTTGTCAATTGGTTATTGAGGTATTGAAGTACAGTACCAAACTCAGATCACAGAAAAGATTTACAACATGGATCATATTTTACGAACCACTTTTCAAACCTATATATATTGATATTTAACTTTAAGGGTACAGTTTCAGAGAGAACCTGCAATATCAGATGAATAACAATAAATATGGATGTTTATCCGATACAATATATTGTTTATTCTTCACTGTAAACATTGAATGGATTTATTTACGTTTTAACTCATTAACAAATAAAACTAATAATTTTTAACAAAAAAATGTTACAGTTTCTAGGAAAATGGTATGCCATTCAGAAGATTCATACAGTTAGCCGATGTCTGACGTACAGTTTCACCCCATCTTCTGTTCCTGAAGAGTTTAACTTAGAGCAAGTGTCAGAACATCCTGTCCTCGGTTTGGCCGATGTCGACAACAAATACCACTACTTAGGACATCTGTCAGTACCTTCCCCTTCCACCCCAGCTGAGATGATCGTCAAGTTCCCTCTCAGTAAGTGGGCAAACCATCTTGTACAGCAAATACATTTAGATAACTATCAATCTTCCATGAGGTTTGTGTCATGGTTCAACAAGGAGGAAGATGTTTTTGGAGATTCTTGCTTTTAAGGATTTTAGGTTATGCCCTCTTAAAAATAATATCCTATACTCTAATATGAGCAATGTTTGCTTGTATGTATGATTGCTTGCATAAAGATCTCAAAAACGGCTTCGACGATTTTCTTTAAATGCTGTAAATAGTTTATGTCTGGCCTAAAAACGTGTTTACTGCAGTTAGAACTGCCAACATGGCGAAGGTAGCAGTGCAGAGTGTGGGAACTGTCTGTGGCATTTATGTATCTGCAATTCTAAAATGGTATAGGGAAGGAGGGCAAACAGGTCCACGACGTAGGGAGTGGTGACCGAAGTAGTAAAGGCGAGCAGTGTGGAGTTTGGGAATGGATTAATGTATATGCAATACTAAACTGCTTTCAGAGTAAACTAATGAGTTTCCCCAAGCAAAGCTCGGTCCCCAGGTAATTTGTTTTAAAATAAGTAGTTATTTATTGTTCTATTAATGTTCTATTGTGCTATTAAAGGATTGCAATTGTTGAAATATGTCTTCCAATACTATTTAATGTAACTGTCTTATGTAAAACATGTATAAGACACTAACATATACTTTTACATCATTACTTATAAGATACAGTGTGTAAAGGGTGTTTATGCATGATCCGTAGGTGTAGCTGGTAGTGCAGTTTACACTGTGTTTGACACTGACTACACCAACTACGGAGCTGTGTTCACATGCCAGAACGCACCGTTCAAACTCGGACACCGTAGATCAGTCACCATCCTCTCCCGTGGCCAAACTTTGGACAAAGCTTACCATGACAAGGTAAGTTTGGGTGTTTTTATAAAGATGATAATAGATACATAAAAAAGCACCTCATTAAAAAAATCTTTACTGCTATGCTTAGAATAGTTCACATCCCTTTTTAAAGATTTATTCTGATAAATTGACCCTCAAAATCAGTATTGCTCAAAACTAATAAATACCGTATTTGTTAGGTCCCTTAACTTATTTGCATGTCTTCCTGAACATAAACTTATTCAATTTCATCTTACACTATTTGTATATTTACGTTTACACTAATATAACACAATTTTATACATGTAATATGATTTTTTAACAATTTGTAAAAAGGGATTTGACCCAACATTCAAATTAGTAAACTTGCTTGTTAAACCAGAGAAATACAAGATTACTAATTTGAATGTGCCATGCTTACAAATAACTTTTGTTAAAACATCAACTTTTTTACAGATCTTAAGTATGGTCAGTAGTTTTGGCATAGAACTTAAAGAGCTTGACACCATTGATCAGACAAACTGTCCAAGCAAAGGCCAATCTATTGTCGATATTAACGTCAATGAGAAGAAAAACGAAGAAGATGAACACAATCGTCTAAGGTAACTAACTACACAAATGCATAACTAGACTCAAATGGTTCAAAAGGGTGAAACAAAATTCTCTTGACCTTGTATTTTATGTCTTTAAGAGTATTGACACATATTGTTAGTATCATAAAATATGTTCTCTTATTTTTCGAGAATGAAAACCATTTGACTTTATAACTGAATAATCAAACAAAATATTTTTGATCTAATCTCAAAACTGGATGATTTCCTTGGCATTCAGATGAGGCTGGTAGAGATTTCAACACAAATCCATCCCAAGACTAAATGAATGATATAACTTAGTAAAAAAAATCTGGTGAGAATAAAGGGATGCAGAAAAACTTTAAATGTTTAAACTTTCGGCTTTACAGTTTTAGTTTATAGTATAGAGTTGTTTTGGTCCATCTGTTAAAATGTTTTTTGTCATACTGCAGCAAATCATAAGTGTTCTATACTCGTGTTGCAGGTCTAAAGTAGCATTTTTAGTTACCAGGGAGTAAAAAGCCTTTTTAGTCCCAAGGGAGTAAAAACCAGTTGTTGCAAAAGTTGTAAATTTTGATTGTAGCAATAGCATGGATCGAAAATATTTATCAGTTGATTTATTAGGTAAAGGTTTTAGCTTATTCTTGCATTCTTGTCAAGAAGTCCCAGCTTATAGTTTGATATATTAATGGTATAATGTATAGTAACACAATCGTAATAGACAAAATTATTGAATCACTTACTGAACAACTGCGTATTCACAACATTATTTATAACAAGCTAGACGTAGTTTAAAGTGGTTTTCTTTACATGGAAAGCATTTTTGACTTCTGGTTTGGTTTGTTATGCAATATTATGAAAAATAAAGTTCATCACACAGGCAAAAAGTGTCTTTTCAACCCTCGCTCAATTTCAGACTTCAGCTTTGCCTCGATCGTAATTGTTTAGCTTGGGTCGAAAAGAGTCACTTTACGCCCTAGTGATAAAATATACTATCAATTCTAAAAATACTTGTTTTGAACAGTACTGATGAAGAAAGAGAAAGGGAAAGAGTGGTTGAGGAGCTATTCTAAATCACAGCACAAGAATCAACATCAAAAGAAACATTTAGCTGATAGAAGAAAAAGACAAATGTACAGCTCATACTAAAGACTGATCTAGGCCTACTCATATTTAGAAATAATTATAGTAAATCATAGTTTTATAGTTCAACTGCTTAGAAAACGGCCTGCGCGCTAATGCTAACCAATGCTAGAGGAGGTCGCTTTCTAAGCGTCCGAACTATAGTCAAATAAACCATATCTAGGATGGTAAATAATTTTGATCTGTCTAATATGACTAAGCATATTTGCTATGAAATTAATTATTAATTGTACTCGGATTTATTAATCATGTATTTGTTTAACAATTGTTGGTATTAAGACCAACAACTTAGACCTGTATAGTGTATATACTGTTTTATAAGTATGGTAAAATAAAATACTTCCTTTTTTAAAACATTTGTTTTACTCATTATCCTCTTTTTTGGCATTATAATATACTGTATATCATAACATTTTCTTTATTTTTTTTTTCTTTACTTGCGATGAATTAGTGTATGACTGTCCTAGGGGCCACAAGAGTCTGCAGTTGGTGGCAGCCAATAGCATGACTGGACTAGCGTGACGTTGCGACATCGCCCTTTCACTAATTTTTGACACTAATTAAAATATACTTAACAGTATTTTCTAATCAGTTGGTATTATTAGATTTGGCAACACTTCATTGTCCATTGTCCTCATTGGCTCCTTCAAAATCATGTGATAAATAGGCTCCTCCTCAACTGCAGACTCTTGTGGACCATACCGTAGATACCGTGGTCAAACACCTGCTTAACATATAATAACAAAAATAAGGCAAATATTTTTTAATAACAATTCTTTAACTTATTTTGATATGGCAAAATTATGGACACAGTATTTGTAAAATGTAAGTAGTCTTTATTTTTATAATTACATGCATAGCCTTTATATAAATCTTAAAAGTGTACACATCACAGAACAAAATAATCTAAGTAATACTTGTATTTTAAAACTCCTATCATTCACACTCTCTTACAATTGCACTAAATTGTGAGACCTTTAAAAATATCATTGTCTGGTGCTGAAAAAAAATATATTTACAAAATGTGAGATGCATATACTGAAAATGAGATTGGGTGTCAGTTGTTACTACTGATATTATTTTATTATAATTTACAATAAATATTGTACATAGCTTTGTAAAGGTATACATAGAGTACATAATTGGATACTAACATTTAAAAAAAATACCATATCACATTGTTTAACAATGCCCAAATTACATTCAGGGCCAAAATGCCGGGTGCTGTCATCATTTGGGGGCCCGAGCAGATCCATCCCGTGTCTGAACCACCTTGTGTAGAATGGTTCAACGGGTTTCAAGCAGACTCCACGCGATGGGGATTCCACCATATGTAGTTTGCACAAAATTTTGGCGCATTCACCTGGGAATTCCGTCGCAGTTTTCACACTCGTGTAGAATGGGCATTATTTTGGAATTTAATCTATCATTAATAATAATTAGCCTTTGTCAAATATGAACCTTAATTCTTGTCAAATAAACGGACAGTGCTGGTTGCTAAGAACCTTGGTGAAAATATTCATGATCTAATATTTTTTGGGTAGTCAGTCAAAAGATAAAACTTAATCTCTAAAAAATTTGTATGGCACTTATTCTATAAATCAGGTCACTAAGGCAAAAAAACACTGTCTAGTATAGTTTCTACTCTGTGAAAAACTTAGATCATGAATTTTCAAGCAAAATGCCGGAATTTATCAAACAGGGTAGGGTTTTTAATAGACTATTTAAATTCAATCCCTTTTATACCTTTGACTATTGATAGAGCTAGAACTTCAATTCGCATGTTAAATCTGTAGCAAGGTTAAGAATAACAATTAACATGGTTTGAATAGGGCCACTGACAAAAGGCACTGATATAAATTGGTGATTTCTGTAAAATAAGCCAACTTTTGAACCAAGAAAAAGTAAAAGTACAAATTATTGTAAACTGCAACATGTCTACATCACAGTACAGGGTGGCCGAAATGTCCCTTTACACTAAAGATGAATTCAATTGGTAGGGAAGGGAGAGTGAGGCTTCATTCTACATGTTACAATATTGTGTAATGGGACTTTTTGGCCACTCTGTAGGTTAACAAAAACTAAGTGAAAAGATAGAACATTAGACTATAGCTACAAGTGACTCATTCAACTTAGTTCATTTTGAATTAAAAACTGGCTACAGCTGGGATTAAAATGGGGTAGAATAAGGCCGGCCGCACACTGATCAGACAAACCGTCTTTTGACAAATCGTTTTCTCGGAAGATGTCTTGTCGGAAAACAAAAATTTCGCATTTTTGTGCGGTGGTCTCAGACAAAAGACAAAAACAGGAGGGAAAACTAAATTCAGTCAGCCGTAGACCAGTGTTGTGAAAAGCCAGAGATTGTGTGGTGATAATAAAATGGATGAGGAAGTGGACGTAGCAATTATGTTGTGGAACTTTAAACAACTTGCAGAAATAAACGAAGGAAGGGAGCATAAATTTTATGTATTTTTTGCATAAATCTAAAATGAACGACTACTAACCGTAAATAAAATTATTAAAAAGTAAGGTATTAACTGAAATATTTGAAATTTAAATAACATTTTTATTATTTGCTGCATAACTCGAAAATGAACAACTACTAACTGTAAGAAAAATTATCACAGTATATAGATAAGTTGAAATATTTAAAATTAAAATATTGTTTTATTATTTCCTGCATGAATCCAAAATGAACTACTACTAACTGTAAGAAAAATTATTACAATATATAGATAAGTTGTACTGTATCCGCCCTCCGCGCACGCGCAGAACTGTTTGTCTGACCGCGTTTTGGCTTCAGACGAAATATTGAGTCGATCACAAAAACACCCAAAAACGTCTTCAGACAAAACAACGCATCTGAAGTCTATGTCGCATCAGTGTGCGGCTGGCCTAAGGCTAAGCTAGTCGGGTTTGCCCTCATGCTGCAATTAAAAATTGTGATATTTCAGTTATTGTTTATTCAATGTCTTTGAAATTGAAGTCGTTTGATAGAAAATTTTGAATGCTAAATACAAGTAGTATTCTTGACATTTCTTCATCAAATCAACCATATTTTAGTATGTAGTTTTAAATTTAAAAAATTAAAATGACCGCTATTTTGAATTTGATTAAGGTAACTTTTTTACATTGGTCTTCTACCTTACATACAAAATTTCATAGAGATCAGTTGAAACGGTCCAAATATAAAAAGGTTTATTTAAAAAATACAAAATGGCAGATATCTGGTTAGCAAAGTTATGTAGTAATTAGTTTTATTCTTGGTTTTCTCTTTGACCCAAGATATCACGCAAATTATGTCCAACCTTTTTTCAGCACCCGGTATAATAAAGTCCATTTTACATATCTACATTTGCTTGTCATGTTCCATTAATGTGCATAGTTCTAAATGTTAGGTTACTGATCTCACATGTTTATTAAAAATGTAACTAACAGTTATCTTAACAATAATAATTTAAATACACATAAAAAATAAACATCCACAAATTAAAATGAGTGATAAAATTTAATTTCAGCTTTACAAAACTTTATCTTTGGAGTTAATTAACTAAACCTAAGATAGAAGCAAGGCAACACTAAATAAACAGGCCTTATTGCTCTTCTGGCGTGATGTCATCAAAGGTGACGGCAATGACGCAATGTTTGCCGTTTGTGATCAGCTGATAGTATTAATATTTTCTTGGAAAACAAAAATAACTAAAAAAAAAAAACATTAAGGCATTGCCGTCGCATTGCCTGTGATGACATCATATCAGAGGAGCATTGCGGCCTGTTAATTTAGCGTTGCCTTGATAGAATTCCAAATGATCCAGGAATAATCTTCATAAAAGTCACATGTTTTACTGTGATTTTTGCTAAATCTATATAAAAAGGTGTTGTCAAACAACTTGATCTCAAATAAAAGTTTTTAAAACATAATTATTGTAATGCAAACTAAAAAAAAAGATCTGACCTATGCTTAGGACAATTCCATTTTGATTTGAGATTCAGACTCATAATCACCGCAATACTGTTTAATATGAGACAAAAGATGCCCCTTCTTAAAATAAGACTTGTTGCACTTACGGCAGGAATAAGGTCTTTCTAGATTGTGTTCCTTAATGTGATACGTCAGTTGTGATTTAAATATGAACGGTTTCTGACAAATCTGACATGTGAAAGGTCTATAGCTGACGTGTTCGTTGATCTTGTGCTGCGTAAGATGTCGTTTGGTATCGAAACTCATGTGACAAACGGCGCAAGAGTAGATGTTGAGCTCGTGGATGCGATGGTGTTTGTCCAGTGATTGTTTGCACTTGAAGCGACGAGAACAGCTGAGACACCCAAACGGTCGCTCACCCGAGTGTGACTGCATGTGCTTGGCCAGGTTGTACTTACGTCCAAACCGCTTGCAGCACACGTCGCATTGGAACGGTTGTGTGTCGGAGTGAGTGACCATGTGGGCAACCAGACATGGCTTGCGGGCGAAGCTCTTGCTGCAACTGTGACATTTGAATGGCCGCTCTCCAGTGTGTGTTCGAATGTGATCTCTCAGCTGGCACCGGTAGATAAATGTGTTCTTGCAATCCTGCATGAGAAATGTAACCATAAGACAATATGCCAGTGATGATGATAGTACAAGGCTAAATAAGAAATGCAATGTAGGTAACATCTTTGTTGATTGTGAATTCGAGAAAAGCTCGCAGCAAACAGGCAGACTAAGCGAATTTCAATCCTTCTGATTGGACTCCTACTAAAACATTTCCCTAAGCAGGCCATATTTATTCCCCATTTAAATAACATTACCTTTAATAAGTACATAGGTTTGCTGCTACAGGAAAGGCAAAAAATTGATTTTTGTCCAAATGTTAAACAGTGGGTTGAAATAAGTAAGCAAGCAAATTACAACAGTTTTCTTGTTCTCCATAAGAATGACATGAGAAACTTAAATGTGGTCAGTCGTTGTTAGGCGCTCACGTTTGCGTGAGAAAAATAACTTTGAAAACGCCGCACGTTTATTTTGGTGCGGCGAAACATCGGAGTTGAAAACTTTAGTCTGAGATTTTATATTAAGTTTTATTTTTATTTCTTATCATCGATGCGTATGTGCAATGAACTGTGTGTGATATGTGATATGACAAGGACTGCGTTCTCCTGATTTCAATAAGGTGAGTGACGCCCAAAAATATTTATCATACTTAAGTATTGACCTCACCTAAAATACCATGTCGTTTCGAAATAAAACTTAAATATAGGCCTACAGTTTTATGTTTTTTTTTGGAATTTTCTCCCTAAAATTTAATTTTACAACAACGCTTTGATATATTAAATGATTTGTTTTTTTAAAAAGCTTGATGGATGTATTGAAAATTAAGTATTTCCATGTTATTAAGGGTAAAAAATTGTTTGGACATTTCAAAATCCCAAAATACCCTGTTCCCATGACCAGATTTTGATGGTTCACAAACTCATTCAAGTTTATCGCACCCTACACTTCAAGTAAAATTTCATCAACATTTGACAAAAATCTTCGAGTTATCATGTTCAAGGACACATATAAAACACATATTTGAACGGTTACTTGTTTTTAGCCTGTGGGGACATCAAAATTAAAAGTAAATCGGTCGCGGGCCTAGGTTTTACCACCTACAGTAATTGCTATTTCCCTATAATTTATGCTAATGTAAGATAATTTTAATAATATGTCTAATTTATTGTAAATAATTAACAATTATTCCGAATTGTATAACGTGATAACATAAAACAACTATGAAATCTACCTAAATACTTCCTGTTCTTCTATGAACATCTATAATCCAAACTAAAAAATTCAGTACAATACATTTTACAAAAATATTCTTAATAGTATAGCCCAGGGGTCTCTAAACACAAGGCCCGCATTGTAAATTTTTGGAGGAAAGGCAAGCCAGACCGTTAATATCTCCGTCTCAGCAGTGAAATTTTACATTTTCTTCCTGATTTTTAGATATTAATATATTTTAGACATGATTACTCGAATTGAAGGAGAACGTTTATCATTCATTAGAAGTAGGGTACAGTAATCAGGTAAAACTAACTGAGAGCAGAAATGTATGTGAACCTTACCAACGCAATTGGAGACATTAATAAAATCAATTTGTAATAAGTAGTTTATAATAACTCACAGAAAGTTACTCTAATTTAAGCACAAAGTTTTCCTCAACAAAATATGATTCACGGGTTCCCTATTTGTTCTATAATGGTAGTTCAGTTTTTAAGTAGGGCTGATGAGAACACTGGTTAACACAACACCAAACCTTTTACGATATTACGGGATTGCCGAGACCGCACAATATGCTCACGAGTGCTGCCGCGATCGCAAGTGACGATCACGGTATCGTCGAGACCACAAGATACGCTCACAAATTTCCGCGACTTTGACGATCATTTGTGTATGCATAATATACAAATTATTATTTCTCAGTACCAGTAGGTTGGAGACCCTTGGTATAGCCTAATGCATTTCAAACATTTTCATTTTCACTTACCATACAAGAGAATGGTCTTGCAGTCAAAGGATTGTGTGTGCGCTGGTGAGCTTTAAAACTAGACGGTCGTTGAAATACTTTGGGACAAGATGTACAAGGATAAAGTTTTACAATCTGATCACTTGGCTTTTCATACTTTTTATGTTTTGATTTCTTTCCATGTTTTTTGTCTAAATTTGAACACCCACTAGCAGTTTTTTTACTCGGTTTTCTTTTCGGTTCATTTTTCAACTCATTTTCTATCTTGCTGATATCACAAGGTGCTGTGATGTTGTTTCCATTACTGACCAATCTATCATTGATCTGAAATGCACAATGTTTAGGTCAAAGAAGTAATCATACAAATTATATACAGTATCTGTACTCTATGTTGTTTCCATTATTAAAGATATGACTTCAGGAATTAAACTGAGTATTTTTGCTTACAGAAAGTATTGCAAAGTTGAGTAGATTTGTAGATTAAATACATTATATACTCAATTTCACAGCAACAAAACTTGCTAAAATGCTTATGGAAGTTTTACTTAAACATAAACAGACATAGCTCACATCATACATAATTAAGTTATCACTTTTTAACTAAGTAGGCCAATAGACAAAATATTGATTTAAGTTTAATTAATCATTGTAAACACACACTTTTTGGGTTTCAAACTGGCATTGATTTTATTTAGGATATGTCAGTATATTTTTAGTGGAAGTATACAAATTAAAAACAATCAACTCATTATGAACTAACTGCCATAGACTAACCAACACAAGTAGACTTCTCATCCCATTATAAATAATTTTGTAGCTCGTTTTTCGCCTCTAGTTCACGTCCAAGTACAGTAGACTTCCTCTTATCCGGACACCTTTTAACCGGACATCGGTTTAACCGGACAATACTCGGCGGAAATGACATCTCTTTAACCGGACAATTTTTATCAGCACATTGGTATAACCGGACTAGATCAGCAGGAAGCGGGCAGTACTGAAACGACTGTTCTCGTGGGACAGATTTGAGACCAGTGATCACGTGTCTAAATACAATGCTCTCCTAAATATAAGTCGAATATCACAGTAAACAGTCTGTTTTAACGAGTTTTTGGGGACGTTGCTTTAACCGGAAAACACGTTATGCGGACTGGCCTCGGTCCCGAGGAGTCCGGATAAGAGGGAGTCTACTGTACACTGATCGCTGGGTCGATGAAATTTAGTTTCTATTATTTTAGGGTTGATTTCAAGATTTGTACCTAATTGGTTATATAACTGAGGCGAGTTATTGTTTACAATTAGATCATTTTATTTGTATAAACGAGGTTTTAGATTGCTCTAATAACTAGATACAAATTGTAAACAAAACACGACCTCTACTGTCTACTGGATGAAACTGTCTTCAGCTGATCCATAAGGATGAGAAATCTACTTTGGGAGTATGTTTTATCTATGTATAACTGCTTACCTCAATCTTGGGCTGATTGTTTACACTGGGTTCCTCAAGAACATTGGGTAGATTACACTGTTCTTCTTTAACAGCATTATTATCCTAAACAAAAAAAATAAAATGTAAATTGGTTTGGTAAATTTTTGAGTTGTAATGGACTTTTAACTACCATTAACTCAGATGGTCTTAGTAGCGAAGCTACACATAGAATCTCTCCCCATTCTCCACTAACCCTGTAGTTTTTCAGTTTCAAATGCATTACACCAATGAATACAAACCTTATAAGAAGCAACATGCTTATGGAGAATAATTATTAGACTCGAATTTTCCCACCGAAATGAGCTTTGTGCGGTGGCGCAGTGCCGCGTTACTCTATCTCTCTCTCACTATAAGCAGATTATGTACACGAATTGGTCTAATTATCAGGATAGTACTGCGGATAGTACTTTATAGTAAGAAAAGCTCGTGTGTGAAACAACCTTAAAAATAACTCCTAAGGGCTTGTTGAGCCTTTACATTTGTGGTTGAACTTTGTGAAAGATTTACAAAAACAAAATCTAGCTCAGTTCTGCAACACAAAATAATATGTAGGCCTATGATGAAAATGGTGAAATAATTCAACTTTAAAAATCCCTAAAGGTATCGGATTAGTTGTATATTTTAAAACATCCTCTTTATTTAGCTTGGTTATATCTTATATTCATATCATCCAATTCTCTGTGCTGTTTTGGGTAAAAATTATTAATTTTGCGTTGATAGGCTTAGTTAGTTGTGTGATACCACAAAGATGGCGAGAGTGATAATTGACATATTGACCCTGGTAGTCAAATATGTTAAATAATAAGATATTGAGGAACAATTATTCATGCTACTTACGGAAAGAACTATTTTGACATCCATTAGAGAATTTGTAGAACAAGACATTTTAGAAGTTTGGGTTTGTCTGTAAAAAAAACAATATAGACTGTTATGGGCTTAAGACACTTTAAACTATTGAGGATCTTTTTATAATCAACTGTAGTACAAAATACCCCCGCCGCAGCAAACCTGCCGACAAAGCGAATTTCAATTTGTCTGAATTAATTTTTAATTAAATCTATTTAAAATCATTAGGTTTAATGAATACCTAGGTTTGCTGCTACAAGGAAACTTATAAAGTGTATTTTTTAGTAAAATATTAATAGCTTAGTATTAAATAAATAAATTTGCCAAGTTGGATCAAAATATATCCATAATCAAGCAAACTCCCTATTGGGAAACTCACTAAAATTTGAACGAATGGTGTTTTTGGCCTCTGGGGACATCAAAATGAAAAGTAAATCGGTCCCTGGTCTAGGTCTTACTGTGCCACCTACGGTAATAGCTACTTCCCTATAGGGAAATTCACTAAAATGACATAGCCTAGGTAGAAGAAAATTTTGATTTGTTTTCTAAATTTTGAAAGTGAGTAAGACATTGTATTTATACAAAACATTTCAATCTGTTGAATCCCGCAAAAGTAGGTATGCAACACTTTCTGAACACAATAACACTTGTATAAGGAAAAAGTATTTAAATGAAAGTTGTTGCCATCTACATTGTGGCAAAAGTTGTGCATAACACTGTCTGTGTACGGGCCGTGTATTTCTTGAATGGACAATAATAAGCCTATATAAATTTTGAAATTTTTTGACACAATTGGGGTCATTGCTGTACTGGCAGAAGATACTCTGTTGATTTCACACTCTGTGATCCCATACAATCCTTTAACTGCATTTAGATCTTGTTGTGAAAACTCTGGGCCTACAGAGCGAGTGCAATAATTCTAGCAAACACTCCAAGGCTATTTCGAGGAAAGAAGCATATAGTACCTAAGTGGTAGAGGTGGGTGTTTTTTAACATAATGATTTAACGCAAGTGTTGCCGATAACCCTGGTAATAGATTACTGAGAAAAACTTACTCTATTAACACTAATACCAACACCCTGCCCAGGCTGATGCTAACCGAAACCCCCGGTCTGTGAGACCTCATTTGAAAATAATGGGACCCATTTAGAAACACACAAACCGAACCCCTGGGCCTGTGAGACCCCCTTTAAAATACACTAACGCTGGGCTTCTGAGATGGGCTTGTTATTAACAGACAACCTGTCAAAGTCACGGCACCCATGCAAATTGAACAATATATCAACAGGTAGGGGAGGAAAAGGGGGGATGGTATTGGGGAATGGAATCTCCCAAGTAAACAGTGTTGCCAACATACGCTTTCTGAAAATTCCCATGGGCCTGTCAGACTGACAAGGGTTTCGGTAAAAGTGTTAAATTAGTAATGTCATATATCAACGGTTTGAACAAATAAATAAAATAACGAGCCTATCCTGCTGATGTCTTCCTCTTAATGGCGAGCATCCTAGGGTAGAGGTTTCATTTAAAAAGCAAACAAGCTTTAGCTTTTACGACTCTAAAATCAACAGGCCAAAGTGCACTCCCTTCCATACCCTGACTGATTTGGGTGGTTGTGTCAAGGTACTGGGGTTTCATCTTGAGGCTAAACTCAGATAGGATACTTGCACATAATAGTGAATATTAGGCCTATAGTGCACATGATGAACTTTTCCAAAGAAAACTCTTACCATAGTAATATTTCTACTCAGAAGGCAATGTAACTTAACTAAATAGCAGTGAAATTAAATCAGAAGTGTGTATCTAGATCCTATCTTATCCTGGAATACCATGCCAAGTATCCTATGGTCTATATTGTTGGGGTCTTTCTCCGATAGCCTCTCAAGTTTTCAATGATATTAGATTTAGGCTACCTTGATTACCACGTTCGCTGCTGACAACTCCGATCGGAGTCATGCCGTAGGTACTGGCACAGCGTGCGTAGGACTCCGGTCGGAGTCATGGTGCAGTGTTATACAAGTTGGTCTACTGTGACCTCCGCATTTATCGGGTATCACCTAAACTAAGTCAGCATGTTGTGCTGGTCCTAGACTTTAATTTGGTGTATGTTGAGTTTAGGTTGGTAGTAAGTTAAAATTTCCCTTAAAATCCCGTCTGGCAACGCTTTTTGTCTCATTTTCAGGGATTTTCTCTCTTCGAGCCACATTACAAAGATATTGGCTACGGATCCAGGCAGTGCTGCTATCTGCGAGTTTTTCAGTGAACTACGTCCACTCACAATGGGGGTTAACACAGCCCCATTACCACTGCTGTTATACCGCTGTCAAGACTGAAATATTTGAATGCTATTGCGTTGACTGATTCACCGGCGCGCCGAGGCTGCGCCGCATTTCCGACCGTCCCGCCAAAAAAGATTCTCGCAGTGAACGTGTTAACAGAGTCTAGGCCTATTCCCATTCTGATATTGGTTAGATGACATGGTTTAATGACCAAGAAGACGGTAAGTTATTCAAGGTAAATATTTTACCTATCAAGGCTTGTCGAATCATTCTTGACCCTGAAGATGGCATTCTATTGCTTTAAACAAGAATCTTTGAAAATGTATCATATCTAATTCAAGACTCATTCCAAAGGAAAGGATGATTTAAGCAATCGCTAGTGTTAACCTTGAGCTGAACACAAAATAGGCCTTATGAATTTTTAGTTTTAAATCTTGATTTCCAGCGAATAAGTTATTCCAACCAGACTAAATTACAAATAATATTCCTTTAAAATCCCTTCATATTGTTATGCAGCAGTGCAATGATTGTAAATGAACACATTTTCTCTAGAAGGGTATAGTTTTGGACAAGGTCTTCAAGAAGGACGCCGGCCAAAGAGTTGCCAAAGATGAAGAAAATTGTTTAACGTTCTTTGATTCCTAGGTTAAGTGTACTCTGGACTGACAATAAGAAAATAAAACTATGCTGTATTACAACGATTCTTACCATAAAGCAGTGATGCATTGATGAATTAGTGTAAACACTTATTTGTATTGTTATTATTTACTTTGGAGTTGACAGTTTACTGTACTAACTAACCTTGATAATTTGACACTAGTTTTTTTCTAAGACAAGACGCTTTTGTCCATGAAGGAGCAGAAGTATTCAAGTCATCCAGCATTGCCAGATTGTATGGCGATGCAATCTTCATTGAATATAGAAAAATATCTCATGCTAAAACCCATGGTGGAAGGAAAATCCCAATATTTTTACAGTAATATTGAATTTAAACGATATAAACTATGTAAATAGATTCAATATCCCCTCCAATTTACTTTTTAATTTGTAAGTCCCCAGAGGCCAAAAACACAGTTTGTTCAAATATATATATATTTTTACTTAAACCTAATATATATAAATTTGAAGATATAAGATGGTCTATATATTTTATATCTACTATCTACTATCTTATATCTTCAAATTTCAAATGTATGTGAATATAGATGTATACATACATTTTATATCTAGCTTAGCCGCCGTGCGTTGTTGTGATTTCAGAAAGTTAACCATTCCATATGGAACCTCTGGAGGTCATGTTTAGAGGCACAGCCGCCTAGTTAAGATGGCCGTGTTAGAGCACTCCATTTGTTGTATTTCTAATAATACGTATTATTTATTAAATTATTAATTAAACAGTAAAACTTCATCGCTTCAAAACATTTAATCAAGTGCTTCCATTTGTTACTGAAGAAGTTACGAGCTGCAGTAAAAAATACATCTCCAAGCTCCGAACCATTTGGCCCTCAACCTCCTAGACAACAGTCAACATGTCTACAGACTTAAAAGAGAAAATGTTTGATACCTTCCGACTCGATTTGTACAGCAGCTCTGAAATTTCTTTTGTTTGCTTTTTTTGTTAGTGCTAAAGCTATTTAGCTGCTAACTCATGTTTTCCAATTTTTTTTTACTTATAGTTTAATGTAAAATACTGTCGATTGTAAATAAAACTTTGTTAAAAAAATTGTTTTTTTGTAAACAATATTTTTTTGTTTTTCCGTTTCGTTAAACAAATAAAGGTACTTTCCTGTTAAAGGGAACATTCGTTATTATCGATGATTTCTTTTCGATATATCGATATTTTTGTTTTACTTCACGATTGGTATTCTTTCTGTTTTAATATCTTCAAACACATTTAAATTACAAATTATGAACTAACCTAGTTTAGGCAAATAGCCTATATATTGGATTAGGACATGAAACTATTCTTCCTAACATAACTAACCAAACTTGTTGTATAGGCTAAGTTACCGTTTCGAAATTCCATTTGATAACAGAAAAGGCATCCGCGGGGAATAGGCTATCAAACGGAATTTCAAAATGTTACAGCAAGTTTGGTTGGTCAGGTTAATTTAGAACAGTTTCATTTCAATATACGCAGAGGATACGCGACCGGTAACCGGACGTGGATTAGGCGTCCGGCAGTTACTGTCATAACCTAACCTAACCAACCAAACTTGCTGATAGTGAAAAAAATCAAATCAAGGTTCAATTCTCTTCATAACATAAAATTATAAATGCCGAAAATTCTAACAAAAGATGTACAGTTAAGAAGAAATTACATTCAAAGCAAAATCTGTGACAAAAAGTTAAAGTTACCGATGGGTTTCGAACCGGGGACCTCTCGCATATCAGCCGAGCACTCTATCCACTATACCACGAACACTGATGGCTGAACATCGTATCATTGTGGCAAGGCAATGGCGTTCCGGGACCCCCTACCGGACGCCTAATCCACGTCTGGTTACCGGACGCCTAATCCACGTCCGGTTACCGGACGCGTATCCTCTGTGTTCAACATAATATTTTTTTTGTTGATACTGAACAATATTTATTTACTGTATCCTATATCGAACTTGTCAGCTGATATGTTTCAATTTGTTACTACAGTATCAATATATCAGATGGAAAACAAAAATATCGATATATCGAAAAGAAATAATCGATAATAATGAATGTTCCCTTTAACAGGAAAGTACCCAAGACCCAAATGAATTAGTTCATTAGTTGGTTTTCGAACGCGAGAGAAGGCTACATAAAGTTGTCCATGTGAGAGACATGGATTGTTAAGCAAACTGTTAACGTTTAAATGCATATAGTTACAGTGATTTTCGAAATTGATAGTGTAAAAATTCAAAATTATTCATCTGTTTAAATGCAAACAAATCTTTACTTCATATAAGTATAACATGTGAACTTTTAAGAGCATATTGAGTAGCATATTGAGGAGCATATTGAGTAGTATTTAGTAGCATCCAAAATTGTATTTCACACAAACCTTCCCGGGGGTTGTATCAACTTCTCGAAGTTTCATTACGCGGATGGCCGAGAGTTGGTAACGCATAAAAGGACAAACAAACAAAAAAATTGATTCTTGTATAGAAGCATAGATTAAACATAGAAGAGAAGAAATTTACATCCGTGAAAGCAATATCTCAGATTGATTTAAATCCAATTTTGACTGAACTTGGCTGGAAAATGTTTGACAGCTTAACACTTCTCATTTTCGTTCGCGAACCAGCAAGATCGGGTTATGGGGCTTTTAATGTTTCAAAATTTGCTTTAACACATTTTCCCCTCCGAAACATGAAAATACTCAACTAGCATTACAGTCATCATGTAGAGCTTAAAAATAGTTGTGTATATTGAAGCGTTGCTGTACAATAAAATACCACGGACAAAATATATAAAAAAAACGGTATACTTTTAAAATTCACAAAATTATATTCTTATGTAGAAAAAGAAAACTACAATAGTTTCCTTGTTTAAGGACATATATTTTGATTAAGTTTGGCAAAATTATTTACTTTATTCTAAACCAATACCATTTTATAAAAAAAGTCTTTCCTTCCCTGTTTCAGCAAACCTACTTCAAAATCAAGTCAAATCTAGCACTTTTTAAATGGAGATTAAATATGACTTGCTTATGGAAATGTTTTAATTAAATAAAATCCAATTGAAATTCGCTTATGCAGGTTTGATGCAGCGGGGTTAGGCTATTTAAATTAAATTATAGTAGTAAAAGAATAAAAAAATAATAAATAATAAAAAATAAAAGAATAGTAAAAGAATGTAGCAGTTTTAAATAAATACTTTAGCCACATTTTATAAAAATATATCTATACACTTTTCTTTTCCTCCATAAAATATAATATACAATATACTTTTGTTTTACCATCTCTCTTTTGCATAGCACTTTGTGGAGCAGAAAGTTGCTGCTAGGTACTGCATTTTATTGATCCACCCCATTAATCAGGGGGTGGTGCTGGGACTCTGAGGGTAGAAGTGGAACCAGCTCAATGCTTCAATGTGTTTGTTAACCTAAAATTATTACAGTGCTTCGGTGTTCACATTTCAATTAGTGCTTCTTGTACTCATTAAGTAAATTTTATGTGGAAAGTAATGCTATTTCATAACCGTTACTCAGGATTATATAATATCATATTAGTATAATATTTAATATTTACATCCATACAGAGGCTTAATTACTTGCCTTATGGATAATTCATTTAATAAGCTAAAATTTCCTAAAATGAACATATTTATGACTGCTTTATTGCTAGCTAATATTAGTCCTTTGGTAGTTTTAGAAAATATTGAAGATACAAATTATAAAAGGCAAATAAAAAATACTCCAATTAAAAGTTCAAAGCTTCCAGCCTGTCAGGCATGTAAGATGTTGGTTGAATCTTTCCTATTACAAATCAAAGCTATGTCAGGTACATTTTCTAGTACTGATAGCAAACAAGTTGAAAATTCGGATGTCAAGATTTTGGAAGACATTTTCAAGAAATTGTGCCACAGTGACAGTTCTACAGATCATTGCTACTCATTGGTTGACAAAAGTAAAGAAGACTTGAAGAACTGGTGGACTATTGATAGGAAAACTAATCCTGACCTCTTACACTACCTGTGTGTTATAAAGCTCCACTTTTGCTGCCCAAGTGGGCACTATGGCCCTAAATGCTATCCGTGTCCCGGTTTCCCTGATAGAATCTGCAATAGTAATGGGAAATGTAAGGGAGATGGCACACGTAAAGGCAACGGTGAATGTTCCTGTGACGTTGGATACTCCGGCAAGACGTGCAACGAATGTGCTGATTCATATTACATTTCATATAAAGACAACGAAAAAATGCTTTGTAGTAGATGCCATTCTGCATGTGATGGTAATTGTTCTAGAGCTGGGACTAGAGGGTGCATGGCATGCAGGGATGGTTGGAGAATGGATAAAACACGAGGGTGCGTTGATGTAAACGAGTGTTTTTCAAAGAGATTGCCATGTAAAAGAAGCGAGTTTTGTATCAACAACGAGGGATCATTCTCGTGCATGGCATGTGACCCTTCTTGTGATACTTGCACAGGAGATGGCCCCGATATGTGTGAAAAATGTGCTGCAGGGTTTGTTCTTAAAGATAACATATGCATAAATGAAAAAGACTATGTATCATATTCGGATGTCACACGATATATTACGTACGTGGGGCTCTGTTTTGCCACCTACATAGTATTTCAGAATAATCCATTGATAGCTAGTGCTATTGGACTGTGTGTAGCAATTTATGTCACTGTGTCAGAATACTTATTAGGAACGCTCACAGCTGCATCATTTACAAGATTATTAGAGAGACTTGACCATTTATGGAGAGATGTTTAAGATTATTAATAATGTGAATCATAGCGATAAATAAAGGCACATAACTATTAGATAATTAAAAGCAATTCAACTGCTCAAGTACGTATATTTCAAATACACCTATATAAACCTTCCTAGTTCCTTGGTAGATAGACAAAAATGTTATTTTTAACATTAATAATATGATACAACAATTAATAAAAAAAACTGTTCAGCTACATAGCAGTTTATTTCTATGGCAACATGAATATTTTCCCGCCAAAAAGTTCACTACCTTGAATGCTTACTGATTGTTTTGTTTTGAGCTAGCAAAAAAGTAAATTAACAATGCGTCGTCTGCTCTGCTCTGTTTGCTTGCTTGAGCGTCTCGGTTTAAAGAATAGTATTTTTTATCATCGAGTGTAAATTAGCCT